ACTGGTATAAAGACCTAACCACTGCATGTGACCACTGTGTATTTTCTGTGTTTAGTACTGACACTTTTTGTGAAAATACCTGTACACAATTTTCGTGTTCAATATATTCATATTTCTATAAGAACACCTCTACAAAATTTTTATTTTGAATATATTTATATTTCTACAAAGATGTCGCTATACAATGTCTGCACTTAACCTATTCACATTTCCATAAAAGCAATGTACAATCAAATAAATAATACTACAAAACAATATACAATTTCCGTAATTAATATACTGATATTTCCATAAACTGCTGTACAATTTCTGTGTAACAAGAACTTTCTTAAAATAACAATAATCACGGGTGATTTTTAACAAACTCCTCTTTTTGATTACCATCTTATTGTTAGACACCTGTTTTTCCTAATCTACCCCTATTTTGCCTAACAATAAACGAGGTCCTGTTTCTGTATTCGTTTGAAAATCAGTTATGTTTTTTACCGCCTGTAGGTCCAGAACGCATCTGGGTGTTCATAACTGTGCCAAGTAACGGTAACGAAAGTAAATCACACACAGTTTCATGCAGGTTCTCCGTGACGGTTAGTCATTCGATTGAGGACCACGGCTTAGATTTCATAGCACGGTTTTCAATTTACTTCGAAAGAAAAACTGAATATTCGCGAGAGAGCGGGCAGCCACAGCCGGATAAATTGCAAAAGCACTGATTTAATTGGTCGAAACGATTACTCTCTTTCCTGCTTTCTAATTAATAGCGACTGAGATGTTTTTCGTGAAAAATTGCTGATTTTGTCGAAATCGCTGATATTCGCTGATTTGCAATTACAACGTAAACGGAAAACTAGATACGGTATAATATAAATAAATTGAGGGCAATATACTGTTTATGAATGATATAAATTTAAGTCAGTATACTATTTATAAATTATATAAATTTAAGTCAGTATACTATTTATATATAACATAAATTGAAGTCAATATACTATTTATAAATTATATAAATTTAAGTCAACATACTATTTATAAATAACATAAATTGAAATCAATATACTGTTTATAAATTATATAAATTTAAATCAATATACTCTTTGAAAATGACATAAATTGAAGTCAGTATACTATTTATAAATTATATAAATTTAAATCAATATACTCTTTATAAATGACATAAATGGAAGTCAATATACTATTTACAAATGATACAAATTTAAATCAATATATTATCTATAAATATTATAAAAAATGATAAGTGCACAGAATAAAACCAACAATTGAAAATAAATCTGTTAATCGATAACAGAAATGTGTTAGTTCGAAGGGTGAACGTTCGGGCCTCCATTTAAGTGGCTTTCAGCAACGTTTCCGATACTTCGCCAGTCACTCCGGAGATTGAATGAATCTCGAAACTCGAGAGACTTCGCAGTGGCCCTTAACAAGATCGGGATGAGAGAATGAGAAGGAAACAGGCTTTTGCAGTGAAACGCGTCAAATCGAACACTGTCCTTGATAATTCTCTGTAATTAATTGGATCGTATTAACGATGAGGAGCACGGAAAGGAGGAGCGCTTTTACAAGCGTGGCTTCCTCGTGCACGCGACTGCAATATCGATTAACGATTTTTTATGCAACTCGCGATTAGAAATCTTGTCTTACACGATGGTTACGATGCACTCCAGCTAAGGAACCTCCATCGGCGAATATTAAATCACGGTTTTAGTTTGCGGATTTTAGTTTTGAACATTTTCTATTATGATTAATACAGTTCATATCTAATAATGTACAAGTACATTTATTTTTTAGATAAATAAATATACAATTTATTTAAAGGATAAATAAATGTACAATTTATTTAAAGGATAAATGAATGTACAATTTGTTTAAAGGATAAATGAACATACAATTTATTTAAAGGATAAATGAATACACAATTTATTTTCAGATAAATAAATATACAATTTATTTGAAGGATAAATAAAAAGGCGTATTAAAAAGAATTTTTGTGTTCGTTTAATTCGATCGAAAATTCTGAACCATGAAGAACCGTGCAAATTACGTTTCTTATATCGTTTGCTATTACAAATGGTCGATTACACCGTAACCTCGTACCGACGACAGGCAAAATAAATCTTGACGAAGTAAAAATACATAAGCCTAAAGGTATTATTTGCATTCGCATGCAGAGCGAAATTCTGCGACAATTTGCACGGATGATTAACCGAACGACTCGTCGAAGGGCAGGCGAAATCGTCTCTTTATAATATTGATAAAAACCGCTACTGAGACGTAATGACACCGTTCGTATCTCGTTATAATCGCATTAAGGCTGATGCATTTAATCGCGGAGAGTGAAATTAGTAATGGGGTCGATTACGTAAGAAGCGAATTGCACGCGTAATCTGACACATTTTAAAAATTTACGGACGAAATCGACGAGTGGAAATAAATGGGGCTGTGAATGCAGGAGGCAAGTTTTTGCTGGTCGAAATTTTGTTCGGCGAAATATGCAAAAACGCTACTTGTAAATAACTGTAAGAGAGTGAAGTGAATAACTGTAAAAAATTAATGTGGTTATTAAAATTTGCAGTAATTATAACACGTTTTTGTATTTACTCTTATTGCCTTTTTAGAAAGCAATTTAGTGTTTTGAAAGATGACTCAAACTTTCTTGTTTGCATTCTTCAGTTCTTATAATTTTAATACTAAATAAGTTTAATAATTAAAAGTTTAATTTGTATTTTTATTTGACTTTATATGACATTATGAGAAAATTTTAGTTATAAGAATATTATGAGATTTTAGGTGTGATATCAAGATTTAATTTTTTTATTAATTTTAATTTAATGTACAATTTTAATTTAATTTAATTTTAATTTAATTTCTGACTTTATTTAATTGGTTTCATTTTATTTGATGGGTTAATGAGTTTATTTATTTAAAAATTTGTTATGTGCACATGCAATTTATTTCTTTAATTTTTATCATTCTCTAAAATTCTGAAGAGGTCGATTTTCTTTTGAACACGGTTGGAAGTCTTGTAATTAATATGTGCAAGGTTCCATGCAAACATTCCGAGCATTCTTTGAAATATAGCGTTTACAGGGAACTTAGGTTGCCTCCAGTGCAAGGCAGGGTTCTTTTTTTATTTAGAGTAAGGGTTGAGAGAGGCAGTTAGGAAGATCTAGGGAAAATCTGGGGAATATTTAGAAAAAACATAGGGAGAGCCTTGAGAAGATTAACATTTTTGTTACTGATTAATCTCGTTTAACAATTTTCAAATTTGGGAATTTAGGAATTTAGAAATTTAGAAAATTAGAAAAATTGAGAATATTTTTGTAAATTTAGGAATTTAGGAAATTTGGGAATTTTTAAGAATATTTGAGAATATGGAAATTTCTAGGAAAATGTAGATTTAAAAATTTCATAAACTTCATAATTTAGAAATTTGAAAAACTTCAAAATTTTAAAGCTCAAAATGTTTGAAGAGCTTAAAAAGCAGAAGAAGCTTGAAAATTTTAAAAAGAAGAAAAATCTTGTAAATCTTTAAAAGCTTAAAATCTTTAGAAAGCTCAAAAATCTTGAAAAACTTGAAAAGCTAACAAACCATTAAAAACTTGAAAATTTTTAAATGCTTGAAAAGCTCAAAAAACTCACAAATTTCAGAAAGCTCAGAAAGCTTATAAAGCTCCAGAAGCTCAGTAAGCTTAAAAATTTGAGAACCTAAAAGTCTAAAAACTTGAAAAGTCCAAAAAGCTCAAAAAGCTCCTAAAACTCAAACAGCTCAAAAGGCTTCTAAAGCTCAAAAAGCTCAGTGCGCCTAAAAACTTGAGAACCCAAAATCCTAAAAGCTTGAATAACTTACAAAGCCCAAAAATTTAAAAACTTAAAAAAACTGAAACCTCAAAAATAAAAAAAAGCTTAAAAAGCTCTAAAATGTGAAAAGCTTGAAAATTCCTAAAAACCTAAATACACCAATATCAATTTTCAAGAAAGTAATAGAATATCGCAAGAAAAGTAGTATAAACGTGTTTATGCAAAAACTTCATTTTCCTGGTTTACTTCTTCACGAAGCGTTGCGATTTCACGAGCAAACAGAACGTTATTGCCTTTCAGCTTCCATTTATTGTTACTTTCGCATTTAGAGAGATACACTTGTTACGTGCCGCGGTATTTCTGCATCCGTAATTAAACGATACCTGCTGAATTTAGTTACAGTCACCGGCACTCGCATAGCACGCTCGAAGTCGAATCGAGAATCGAACGATAAGAAGCACGCAACGAAGGAGCGTAACACGCGACAAACGTATAGCGAAATATTTGTGTATCTTTTTTTATCTTTATTCGAGAACGAGTCAAATGCATGCATGAAATATTCGATGAATACCATAGTTTTTAACAATAAAATGTACATACTTATGCATACGTATGATTCTTTGAAATGTAACGTATATTTTATGCATATGAGAAAGATTATACTCGTACAGATTTCTCGTTAAATATAACCTGCAAATTATATTCCTTTATGACTTCCTTCTTGCTGTGATAACGATAATTATCTCAAGAGTGCTTATATTAGCATCTAGTTACAAAATAGTTCAGCACTGTGTTGTACACATTGCCACATTTATTTATACAGTGCTTATTAGATTCAGTTTAAATACTTTATTCCTATTTTACTATTTCAGACTTTTATCTTTATTATTTTACTAAGTCACTATTTTGCTTCACTGTCCTGTTTCACTTTTCCGTTATATTACTATGCCGGATCCTATTCTACTGTAGCTCCGTCATTATGTCACTTCACTATTATACTACTGCCGCGCTAATTACACTATAACACTATGTGTTTCATTACTACATTATTCTACCATTTTTCTATTTTCAGGTTAGAATTTTCACTACTCTATTTATACTAAAAATAGTATATCAACAGTATAGGTAACAAGAAATAGTCTGAACTAGTAAAAAAGTTACCAGTGACAGTTCGAAACAAAACTCACCATGATTCCTAGTGTGCAGTTATCGCTGTGTGTGTACGCCGGTGTCACCTAATGCCGCCAAATGTTGTTCTCCGATCTGAGCATGTTTACGTCGCGGCCAAAAACAACGTTCAATCGTCGCAATTTGAAATTTCCGCGTTACACAGTGTCAATCGTAACACGGTAAACACAATCACCATACGTAAACACACACACACGTCCTGTACCGAAATACGCGCTTGTCAGTATGCGCTCCCGTACACTGTTACCGTGTCTGCACGTGAAAAACACGACCGGAAGGTTTTTCTGACAATACCGGATAAACGCGACGTATATGCCGGCTGTTCACCGCGAATTTAAAATAGCGAACACCTTAACGAACACCGAGAAAGAACGACGGTTGACGGTGCGACGTCCGTCGCATCCCACGTTTTCGCTCGTGACGTTTTTCGCGCGTTTTTTATCGAAACTTTAAGAAGTCGCGACGAAACGAACGGGAGAAGTCACGGATTTTCAACCTGGCGGACACCGACTGAGCTCTCGACCGGCAGGTAGGTGAGCCATTGCCCCCCTACCTCCCTCCTAACAGTCTACCACTACAACCGCTCACCATTCTCCATTCTCTTTCCCTTTACTTGCCTCCGTCTTGTTCTTTCATTTTCCGCGATCCCAGAATCAGCAGCTTTTCGGTTACGCGGCTAATCTGCTGTATCATTGCATCTCGTACACGTATGGATTCATTTTTATATCCTTTAAAAAACACGGGAAGCTTCCAGGAAGCTTACGTTATTATAATCCCATTTCTGATTTTATCTCATTCGTTTGTGAAACAGATTCTACACATTGCGTTTCTGTTTCTTTTTTCGATATTTGCGCGGCCATCGGGCGAATACTTCTGGGTTTATGGGTAGAAAATTGGTGGATTGACATTTGAGGATTTGGAAATTTGGGAATTTGAGAATTTGAAAATTTTGAGATTTTGAAGCTTGGAAATATACAAATTTGGAAGGTTTAGAAATATAAACATTTGGAAGTTTGGTAAATATTAATATACGAAAGTCTGGGAAATTTAAATGTCTGGAAATTTGGGAAATATTTGAAAAAAAAATTATTTGGAATTTTGGGAAATAAAAAAATTTAAACTATCAAAGAATTTAAACGTGTGAGAATTTGGAGATTTAAAAGTTTGGAAGTTTATTTTGGAGTAAGCTCTAATTGGTTGATTGGCGGCGGGGTATACCCTTTTCCATTCGTTACAAATTTGAGCTACTAGATGTCTCACAAGATCCACTGTTTCTCGCTAGTGATCTATTGGGCATAAATTAGAATATATAGAATCTCTGAACATTGACATCTTGACGATGAAAATTGTTGCAAGTTTATAATTATTATAATAAAAATTTGAAAGTTTTTTTAAGAAATTGGAAAAATTCGAAATTTGAAAATTTGTGGAGAATGGAAAAAATATAGGAATTTGAAAATCTTAAGAATAATAGAAATTTGAGGATATATACAGATTTTGAAATTTGAATATCCAAGAATTTGAACATTCTACAAATTAATTCATGAATTTGAGAAATTAAAAGATTTGAAACTCTCAACTTCTCACGTATATGAAATTTCAGAAATTTGAAAAAACACTGTGTAGGTAAACAATAAAAATATGATAGAAAGCATTTCTCGTAACATTTATCATTTTATTGTTTATAAAATAATTAAACTGATTCTATAACTGCACTATCATCTGGTTCCTGTTCAGTGTCTTCTCCAGCTTTCTTTGGAAGGAATTTACTGTAATCAACTTTAAATAATTCTTCTGATGGTTCACTCGAAATCTGAATTCTACAAAATATAGGTTTTTTAATATTTGGAATTTGACTATATTAAACTGAAAGTTTAGTGTCTTATTGAATAATAAGTACGAGTGTATAAATACCTTTTAATGAAAGATCCTGTTCGCGAAGCTCCAACAGATTCAATATCTTTAACGACGGTAGCAAAATTTTCCTCGAGATGTGCTATATCCATATCAAGCTGCCAAATAATCAACAAAATTGATTACTAATATACGTCACATATTTTTAAGTACTCTATTAATAAATCTAATCTATACGCAGTATTTGTGCACTAACTGTTAATATTTTATATTTACCTTGCCAAAGGGCAGATTAATCTTAGCATAGTCTTTATGTTCTTCATTTACTTCTGTGTAATATCTTATTGAATTTTTCATCTTTGTAATAAGTGAACCAATGTCATTGCTCAAAGTACCTAAATATTCAGTTAATATTTGAATTAAACATTCCTACAGGGTAGCAATTTATTTTGAACTAATTTTTCTGTTTACCTGCTTTCACACTCGGAAACTTTCGTTTTAATAAACCTCTAATTAGCAGTAATTCTGTTAAAATATCTATATGAGCTATGACAGTGTCATACTCTTTAATATCAAATTTTCCACCCTATAAAGATTGATGTTATAATATGCATCATAATCACATTTCATTTCATGCTGTTTCACTTGCCTGAATTTGTTTTATTACTTCAGTACCACCAACATATTCTGCTCCAGCTTTCACAGCATTATCTTGCTGTTTGGAATTCTTGGCTAAAGCTAAAACAGTTAGCTTCTTCTTGCCAGTATCAAATACATGAGGCATATCAATATTTTTTGAAAATTTATCAACATATTTATTTTTGTTCTGGTGCTATTGCAAATAATATAATATATTATTATAGTCTTATTGTAAAGGGATTATTTACATATATTATCACTCGTGCTTACCTTCATATTACATTCAATAAATGCATTTACAAGTGCGTTAGGTACATTAAACATAGTTGGATGATGCGTTTCACGATGATATTCTATAGCCTCTTGTAGTGAATACACTGGTTGTGGATGATTCTTTATTATCCACACATCATCCATTATTGGTTTCAATGAGCTATCATCTATCAAAAGAAGTGGAGATTGTGTTGCCTTCTTTTTCCTGTTGTTAAATTGTTTTAACTATTATTCAATAATTTTGCAACAATTTGTCAAAAATAACAATAAAATGTACTTACTGTAGCATAGACTTCTTCCGTGCCTCATGTCCTATTTTTTCAAGATTCATTTTAATTTTCTTCTGTCTGGCTTTTTCCCTTGTGCCTTTTCTGGCTGCGTAATCTCGAGTTTGAATAAAAATACGAGAATATACATTGTTTCCAACATTATGATTACTTATAAATCGAGCACTATTCAGCCATCCTGTACATATCAAAGAATAATCATTAAAGTAAACAATAATCTTGAATTAAAGCCTTTTTATGAACAAAAATTTTAGGTTATAAAGATAACGCTGTAATTTTGTTACTGATATAACGTGATACACTTATTAATATAATTATACTGCTTTAAAAAGATCAATCCTTGATGAAAAAAACTATAAAATTAATAAATACTAACCAGCTAACATTTTTATTATTGTATACAAAACTTGTGTATAGGTTAACTAAATCACACTCCAGTAATATAGATTTAATTTAAATGAAACTACACAAGAAAAAGTAATTATTAAAGCAGAGAACTTTCTTTTGATTTAAAAAAATCAAACATGAAAATTGTCAAATTTTTCAATTCTCAAAGTATCAAATTTTCAAGTTTCTAAGTCTCTGACAGTGCCGCTAGCTCCATTTAGCGATCGATCGTGAAACTATCGAATCAGAAAATTGCATCTTTTCGTAAAATACAGTATTGTTACGTTTTGTTGACGTTGAAAATTGTTCTATGAACACAAAAAAGGTAGAAAAATGTCTTTACGGGGACTTTAAAGCATTACATTCGAAAATTAAAATGATTGCATTTTATGGACCCTTAAATCATCTCCACCGGAGAGCGGGAATTAATGAAGCTAAATCTTGAAAACAATTATGTACATTATTTGTTTTTTTGAACTACTAACACATACAAAACATACAAAAGACATCTATTATTACTTCCTGAAGTATTCTACTGTCTCCTAAATAAAAAAATCAATGTTTCGTAAGATAATGTATTTCAAACTTAGTTCCACTGTTAGATGACGACACCAGTACATTTTGCAAACACTCCGCGCGAAGAAATATATTTTAAAATAAATGTAAAAACAAAGCTTCTAAAATCCTCTCAACTTTTTAAATTAGTTATAATAATACTATGACCTTTACATCTTTTTTATATATTAATTTACTGTACTTTTGTTACTGAATAAGTTTGAATGTAAAATTTAATCATAAGAGAACGTCAACGCAAAGTTAGCATTAAGACCACTTGCTTATAAAAATAAACATTTATTTGCGCAAATCTTATTGTCTCTCAATTTTCAAAGTGTTTTTTACGATACAGGCACAATTCGTGTCAGTGCGCAGATGTTATCAAGGATGGTAGAAATCTGTTCCCGTCGGCTGCCATTTTCCCCAGGGAATCCAGATTTGCACTGGAGTACATAAAAGTACCAAAACAAATGCGCTAGGAATATTTTAAATATCAGATAATAAATAAATTCCGTGCATGTAAATTATCATGTATACTTCTGTTTCTGTCCTATTTTATGAATGAAATTGATATAATCAGTTCTATAATCTTGTTCACCACAGTACTTCAACGTTTTAGCAATTATTGTAATCCTAGAATAACCTGGTAATAAGAAAATAAAAGAATCACACTTGTGATATAGGCAAAAAACAGGAGCTTTAAGAACGGAATAAAATTAGAAATAATTGACCTTAAGATCAGCACTTATGAAAGAGCACTGTTCAAGTAACATGGCAGACGGAAGTAGACGTCATCAGTGCCAACTGCCAGCCAACTAGGCTTACTGAAGCTGTAGTTTCTATACGAAGAAAAGTACTTTTTCTCCGTTTCCTGCGTCTTCATATATTTTTTGCGATAGGGTTCATTAGTTCAGTAACGAAGAAACGTTTTATGTAGCTATATCATGCTAAAGTTTTTCTAACCCGCTTACGATTTTATACTTTGGTGACCTGTAATCGAAACAATATAAAGGTGTTATTAGTAGGTGTGATCTGGTAAGTCTTATATTTTAATCGTAATTATCCGCTAATCATATATCACAGTCCATTCGCATCGTTATCACAACAGGCACCTCTGATTTGTTGTTTACTTTGATGTTAATCTGATAACATTTAATTGTTACTGATGTTTTTTCTGTAACACATGTTGTTGCAATTTCAATGCATACTAAACTTAATCACAATTATACATGAATTTAAATATATTCTGATTCAGTAGCTACATATGATAATTTTGTCAACTCATTGTTGCAGAGTCATTCAGTAGTTAGTATACAGTGGACATTATATCCATTCATACCTACAAATATGTTCATTTGGGACTGGTTTGCAGGTGTTTTGAATTATCTGGGTAAGTATAACTTTTATAAGGATTTAAGAAGTATTAATTGCATGAATACTTTCTATAATTATTAAAGGAAAAGAAAGTTTATAGTTAATAAAATGGTTATTTCAGTTTGATTCGTATTTTTATGTATGACATTTTTACTTTTAATTTCAGGACTGTGGAAAAAGAGTGGTAAACTCTTGTTTCTTGGTTTAGATAATGCTGGCAAAACTACATTACTTCACATGCTCAAAGATGATCGATTAGCTCAACATGTGCCCACATTGCATCCAAGTAATTAGTATTAAAATAATTCAAATATCTAGTTCAAATTAAATAATTTAGCCATATTAATGAATTTTTCATTAATTAATTAAATCCATTAATTTAGTATTAAAGTAATATGCTATACAATAGTTTTATATGTATTTCCATGATTTAGCATCAGAAGAGCTGTCGATCGGAAATATGAGGTTCACAACTTTTGATCTTGGAGGGCATCCTCAAGGTACATAATACACCAAGGACAATAATTATAGGTAAATCATGTAATGTTACATCTACTATAATTGTATATTACAGCACGAAGAGTGTGGAAAGACTATTTTCCAGCAGTGGATGCAATAGTATTTCTCGTTGATGCAAGCGATAGGTCAAGATTACCAGAATCAAAAGCTGAATTTGATGCACTATTAACTGATGAACAACTTAGTGCATGTCCAGTTTTGGTGCTAGGTAATAAAATTGATAAACCAGGTGCAGCATCAGAAGATGAGCTCAGAAATTACTTCAATCTTTACGGTCAAACAACGGGAAAGGTACATTGAATGAATCATTAAATTGCATTTTAAGCACAGAAATAATATCAAACAATATATTTTAGGGAAAAATTTCTCGCAGTGAATTGTCTGGTCGTCCATTGGAATTATTTATGTGCTCAGTGTTGAAAAGACAGGGGTATGGTGAAGGCTTCCGTTGGCTTGCTCAGTATATTGACTGAATGTACGAAGTAATTTAAATACTCAGATTTTTGGCAGTTTATTATGTTTCCCTTTCCTCTGTTTCATACTGAACGTCAGTACAGGGGTGTATTATCCTCTAAGTGAATTGTGCGGTAGGAAAGGAATATTGAGATATGAACTGCAATAATGGGTTCAGTACAGTGCAGATATATAAAGAAAATAACATCTCAAAAACAAAATATGACAAGCACGATAGGACTAATTTGTTTCATTTTAATATGTGGAGCCTACATAATATTCTGTATGAATTTTTAAAATTCCATACGTGTTTGATGAATTTCTGTCATTTTGAAAATCACATTATGGAAATATCGGACACGCTAAAAAATAATATAAACGTTTTGATAAATAAAATAATAAACTATTTAAAAATTTCAAGTGTTTTCCATAGTTATTTTTATAACATAACTTTTTCAGTTATACAGGAAATATTTTGCATGTACATGATTAAATAGCAACATTTGTTTTATATATCTTTAAGTAAATTATCAAAAATTTGTTGAGTATATTTAATTTCAAACTTTTTACTTTAAAATAAAAATGTTTGTAAACATGATAAAAGGGATGTTATCATTTTTTTGTAATAAACTTTTGTTGTTAATAAAAATTGTTTGTGACTTAAAAAGAGAAAATAGTAATATCAGTACGAATTGTATAAAGAATAAAAGTAACCAATACATTTAATTATGTAACTATTATATTTGAGATCGCATTTTGGTAGGAAATTTTCAAAGTATCAAAAACAATGTCTTGTAAATTAATATAAAACTAAAATTGTGTCTAAATATGTAAAAATTATTACATAAAGTATATAGAACTGTTTATGTACACTTGATTTTAAATAAGGACCGAAAAATAAAAATTTTAGAAATGAATTTTTTTATATATTAATATAGTAATTGCAAGTACTTATATAGTGTTTTTTCTTTTCATTATTTTATAGAAATAAAATATAATTTGGTATCTAAAATATGTTTTGGTTGTATAATTTCCTTTAGGTTTTAATAGTATTTTAAAGTGACAATTCTCCTTTCTCTGGTGATTTGGCAAATATTTGATTTATATAAGTATCTGTTACTTCATCTAAGCTCTTTGGATTCCAGTTTGGTTTTTGATCTTTATCAATTAAAAGAGCTCTAACACCTAAAAAAAAAATGAAACTCAAGTGGTACTTACATTGTCATATGAGAATGATATAATATAAAATTACTTGTCTGAAATGTATGTATTTGTAAAATTTATATAATCAATACCTTCATAAAAATCGCTGTTTTTATGCAGAACAGCATTTGATAACCTAAATTCCATCTTTAAGCAATCTGCTAATGTTAATGCAGCTCCTTTCTGAATTGCACACATAGTCATTTTCAGGGAAGTGGGAGATGCTTTTAACAGCATTCCTAATGTTTTTTCTGCCCATTCTGAATTATCCTCCTTCAATCTTTTGAAAGCATTTAAGAAAATACTATGAGATAATTGTCTTAAATTAATTGCTGTAGTTAACATACCTTTTTACTATTTCTTCTACAGAAGGAGCAGAAAAACACTTATTAATTTTTTCCATGTGTGGTGCTAAGCTAAATTCCTGATCGAATTTCTCAGGTTGATATTTATTTAAGACATTATTAATATTAGATGTATCAGTTACTAATAAATCTTGTCTTAAATCTGATAATTTCTCAGAAGGCACAAAATGTGTTGCAATCCCAGCAAATAACACATCAGCTCCTTTTAAACATAATGTGAAACTTACAAAATGTTTGAGATATAAAAAATAAAAATTATTGAGGTTTATAAATTTTTGTACCTTTCAATCGATCTCCAGTTAATCCAAGATAGAGGCCTAACTTGCCTTCCAATCTAGGTAAGAAATACGATCCCCCAACATCAGGATAAAGACCTATTGCTGTCTCAGGCATTGCAAAAAATGTTTTCTCTGTTGCAATTCGATATTTACCATGGATAGATAATCCAACTCCACCACCCATAGTAATTCCATTTATTGCAGCTATATATGGTAGCTTATACGTACCAATTAGGTAATTTAAGCTATATTGAACATATATAGAGCTACTTTGAAAAACATACTGTTATGTATTTATATATATCATGAAATTACATTTACAACTTACGTATATTCTTTCCTAAAAAATGCTTCACCTAATTTATTATTATTTTCTTGTAAGGCAACAGCAATACCTTTTACATCACCTCCAGCACAAAATGCCTTCTCACTGGCTGACTCTACTATTACTAATTTTTTAGATGTTTCCCATTTTTTGAGTTCACGATATATTTTTTCAACCATTGACAAATTTAAAGCATTCAAGGCTTTAGGTCGATTTAATGTTATAATACCTGCATTTCCAATCTTATTTGATAAAAAAAAATCATTAATATCGAAAGTTCATAACTTATTTTTATGGCATATTTTATGAATTATGGCTTGCAAATATATCATATTAAGTATACAATTCATACTTATAACTATACATACTTCTTTAACAAGTACATCATCTTCCACTTGTGGCATTTGTTTGTGCGTAGATGCATTCCTTTGAGGTACTGGAATTTCAACCATAGGTTTAGAATCTGGTTGAGGTTGGGGTTGGGGTTGGGGTTGAGGTTGAGGTTGTTGAGGAAGTGTAGGTTCAGCAATAGGACCTAAATATGGAAGATTAATATACTGTCAGGACTCAGTTAATGAATTTATATTCAATCTCTATAAGATTGAATCTATGAGATTGCATCAACTAAGAAAATGACTAATTATTGTCTGTAATCATCACTTTGATTTTATTAACAGAATTAATCTAGGTAAGTGGTTCTTAAAAACCTGGTATTTCTACTACAGGAATTTGTGGAGATTGTGGTACATTTGGGAATGGTGTTGGTATTGTTTCATCTGCTAATATAACTGGTATAGGAATGCGATCATTTAATTTAAAACTTATATTTTTACCTGTACCAGAAGCTTTTACTGATAAATATTTAAAGGTAGTAACTGGACTACTATTTCCAGTACTTAATTTCAATGCACCATTTTTTATCTAATGAAAGATAAGAATGTTAGCTCTAGTTTTAAAAAATATAAATAATACATGGTATACAAATAATAATTACCATTATTGCTGTTTAGTATTTGTTTTATGACAATTTAATAAATAGGATTTTATAATAAATCAATACAAAAGTCAATATTTACTAATACAAAATATTGCAGCATCAATTTATCAGACCTGGTAAATACTTGCGCCGCATAGGTTATAAAATATCATGGAATTATAGACTACGTTGATATTCTTTTTTTTTTTAATTTAAATGAGCAACAAAACCCTGATAAGTAAAGATTTCAAAATCACATGGTGTTTTTGCATAATATATATAGATACCAGTATTTGGTTGCCAAATATTAAGTAAAAATTGTTATTAAATCTAAAAATAACCTTCAGGTCTAATAAAGCATGAATTATTTATATATTATTGCTATAAATGTGTTAGCATATAATTTAACAATTTAAATAAAAATATAAAGGATGTGTATATGAATAGTATTGATAATAGATTTCTATTTAGTTTGTTATGAATTTTTTATTATATTGAAATACAATATATTACAATTTACGAAATCAATAAATCATTCTTTATTTTATCGATAATATTATTCAATATAATCATATTTTTGCGCCAAAACAGTAGGGACTACTGCGATTAGATACGAAACATAGTACCAACATTTATATAATTTTTTGTACAGATCCAACATATGGGTTGTCCGGCATAATTTGAGATACTGTCTGGAATAATGATAATTAAGGCACTTAAACATGTTAGTATAATCAATAAGCGTGTATCGGGTGTACAGAAAACTGATATATATAGTTTGATTCTTCCCAATATTCAAAAAGTTCGGTCCATATCCTTTTTCTCCAAACCTTCAAAGCCGCCTTATGAACATATTTGTCAAATTGGCGATCCTGTTTTACGTACAGTAGCGCCACCAGTAGATTTGAAATCAACAGTGCACACAAAAGACTTTCAAAAGGTATTTTCTTATTATTAATTTAAAATTTTTAAATATAAGAATTCAAAAATTTGAGTATTAGGAATTTCAGAATTATGAAATTTGGGAACTTAAATTATTGAAAATTTGGAAATTCTAAAGTTGTGATTTTATAAAACTGGGAGTTCAAAAATTTGGAAAGTTGGATGTTAAAGGATATTTAAACATGATGTTATATTTTGCAGCTACTTGATCAACTATGCAGAGTAATGAGAAGATATACCATGTGTGGACTAGCTGCACCTCAAATAGGCGTTTCTTTGCAAGTATTTGTTATCGAATTAAGAGAGAAGTTTGTAATGAGAATTCCTCCAGCAGCTAGAGAACATTTTGAAATGGAACCTGTGCCATTAACATATTTTATTAATCCAAAGATGAGGATAGTAAATTCTGAGGAAACTGAGTTTCCAGAATATTGTGGAAGTATTACTGGTTTTGAGGCAGTAGTACCAAGGGCAAAACAAATTAAGCTCACAGCCTTTGATCGACTTGGGGAACCATTCATTTGGAATGCTTCAGGATGGGCAGCTAGGATTGCTCAACATGAATTTGATCACTTACAAGTGAGTACCTCTTGCATTATTATAATTTATGGGATAAAATTATTTGTTATTTCTAGGGTGTACTATATGTAGACAAAATGGATCCAACCACATTTCAGTTTAATTACTGGAAAGAACTAAATGAAAATAAGGGAGACATCAAACTTCAATATAGATTATGGTAATTATAACTTATTGCTAATTTAGAAAGTAACATTCGCTTTATATAATATGTTTATTGAATTACAGATTTTAAAAATAATTGTACACTTTGCCATAAGATGTATAAACAGCACAAGAAAGTATGAATAAGAAATAAAATTATGGCATAGAATTGTAAGTTGAGATATAGCTGAATAAATAATTTATTTAAGAAACATTAGCGAAATGTTTTCTATGATTTAAAAAGTAGTATGTCTATTTTGTTACCATTATGTATTTTGTATAGTTTATTTTGAAATCCTTATAATATGAGAATAATATTATATATCTGTATAAAAATTGGAATTGATTTGAAGTTAAATTAGAAAACGAGCAGTCTAAAATTTTCTTTATAAAGTTTGTTGTTTGAAAACATACTTGTTTGAAACTGTTCAATAAACTGTAATACCGATGTAGCAAACCAAATTTTAAATTACTAAAATGCCTATAGAGTGAACCACCTACCTCAATCATTTCAATTTCTCCTCCTTTCCTGTAGATAAATAAAATATAATTTAACATTATTACATTATATGAAGTTAATAAAAAATTCATGTCATGAACTACTTGAAATATCTTTTATTCCATAAATTGTTTTTAATAATCTAACAATAAGATTATTTCATTGCCACGTCCAGATGTCTCATCCTACATGTGCATCATAATGTAATTTTAACAATTAATTTCATACGAAACATGTACAAATCACATTCACTATCTTTATTTTTATATTCATATAATTTTCTTTGTTCGATTTTATTGTGTTTCCTTATATTAGAAGTACAATGAAATTTAGGAAGCGTTTCTCTACAAACAAAAGCTTCTTACATTGATATTCACATAGTTTTGTACATATTGAACAATGTACTTTTCTCTTATATCGATACTCGTTTTTTTGGTTCGTTACATTCAATATAATCACGTATACATGTATATTTAACTAGTATATTAAAAAGCGTTTGTTTTTCCCAGAGTATTCTTGCTCCGCGTTATATTACAGCTATTGGCGTAACTAGGATTTATTTGGTGGGCCATATATCTCTTGAAATATATTCTTATTAGGTGTAGTAGAGATCACTAGAAATAGCATTAGGTATAGTGCACTTTTTTTTAGGGAAAGTGGCGATATAGGGAAGGGAGAGATTATTGGAGCTAATTGGGAGATGTTAAATTAGGAATTTCTATATTTTCAAATTTTAGTAAATTCACAAATTTTCATATTTTCAAATTTCTCAAATTTTTCAAAGTTTTAAATCTCTCAAATTTCCAAATTTCTCAAATTTCCAAATTTCTCAAATTTTCCAATTTCTCAAATTTCCAAATTTCTCAAATTTCCAAATTTTTCAAATTTTCCAATTTCTCAAATTTTCTAATTTCTGAAGTTTCAAAATTTCTCAAATTTACCAATTTCTGAAATTTCCAAATTTCTCAAATTTCTCAAATTTCTCAAATTTCTCAAATTTCTCAAATTTCCAAATTTTCCAAATTTTCAAATTTTTCAAATTTTAATTCCTCGAATTTCTCAAATTCTAAATTTCCAAATCTTTACATCTCCGAACTCAAATTTCCAAATTTTCAAATTCCCAATTTTTTTACTGTTATAACAAATGGTATATCCTTCTGTTATATCACCATTTTCTCTAATAAAATCTGCCACTCTCAATACAATACCGTTTTGAATAATCCTTGACAAAAGGATCTACCCACATTTTTTTATATAATTTCCTTTACCCACCCTTGTTACGCCAATACACATTACAGCTGAAAAGCTAAACCGAGAAGAAGTGTATTTCACAATTTCAGCTCCATAAATTTTTTCCAAGTTGTACTTTATTAAAGGAAACAGTAACAGGAATTTTGATTCGTTTCTCACACAATTTGTCACTCGCTTATTTCTAACGAAAGTGAATTGTCTTCAGACTTCAGATACCGCACATACTACATCGCATTTATTTTTGCCAAAGTTTCACAAACAGATACAATGCACGAATACAAAAATTAGTACGCTTAAGCATCTACTATCAGATTTTGTGCGTTTTTATAACGAAGATATTTGCAAATTTCGAAGATATTTTGCAGTAATAAGGATGCCATGTTGGTATTTTCTAAGTTCAAACGAAGTATCGAAAAGTATAGCTCAAAGAAGTATTCGAAGTAGCAAATATATTTCGTTTGAATGACTCTTCACTCGATTAACGACACACAGTAGATGATTTCTAAAGTTCAAATGAAGTATCGAAAAGTTTAGCTCAAAGAAGTATTCGAAGTAGCAAATATATTTTGTTTGAATGACTCTCCACTCGATTGACGATACACAGTAGTTGGTTTCTAAAGTTCAAACGAAGTATCGAAAAGTATAGCTGAAGTAGCAAATATATTTCGTTTGAATGGCTCGATTAACGATACACAGTAGGAACACGAAGTTTAATCAATTAAGCACTTTACCATTTATAAACAGATAGCACGCGTTCGATTAACATACTGGAACTCTCGCAAACGTCTCTCCGTGAAACATCGAATGTTTTATTAACGCAGGTAGATCATTGGTCCGTTATCGAACGACGACCAGATAACTTTTCGTATCGAAGGATACCTTTGTATCATTCTCGATTACCTGTCGTCATCGTTACAAAGCTCGATTCAATTTACACCAAGACAGAAGGTTCGATAGTTAATATCTAACGAGAGTCAATTTAGCCGACATACGTCAACCATGTTTTGAGCTTTCGATCCGTTTTCCCTCTTCGGTTTAAAGTGCCTCCAGTTTCACTTTACATGAGAACCTTGAAGAGGACCGTTGCTTAGGATATGTGTCGCTTATATCCAGGTATGTACTCGTTGTTGTTCAGGATTGTCCTCCTCTTGTCAAGATACGTGACCCTTGGTCTGCGAGGTTTTCCATTTTCTTCCACGATGAGGGGCTAGGAATCGATCGTTCCCTCCTCTCGACGATTGCTGGTACAAAGGTATTCGCGCCGTGCCTATTGAAATTAGAAATAGGGCTTGTTTGCGTCGACACATCGTTTCTTGCGTATCGATTTCTAAGATGCAGTCAAGTACAACGGTATGTGGGAGTCGATTTATTGAGGCTTGTGGGGATCGGGCTCTCGTTGTATTGTTGTGGAGCAATGTTATAACCTTATGTTATATTTCCACGCTTTGGATCCTGCATTGTATGAACTATGCAGAGTATAACATTCATTCTGTGAGGTATAATATAGCAATTGTATATTCATTCTGTGAGATATAATATGACAATAGCAATAGCAATTTATGTATGTAGCAATGTACATAAATATATTGCTAGTATTATATTATAGTAATATATAGCAATTTATGTATATACCAATGTGCATAAATATATTGCTATTATTATATTGTAGCAACATACAGCAATTTGTGCATATAGCAACGTACATAAATGTATGTATTGCTAGTATTAAATTATAGCAATATTTAGCAATTTGTGTAAATAGCAATGCACACAAATATATTGCTATAGTAATATTGTAGCAATATATAGCAATTTGTGCATATAGCAACGTACATAAATGTGTGTATTGCTAGTATTAAATTATAGCAATATTTAGCAATTTGTGTAAATAGCAATGCACACAAATATATTGCTATAGTAATATTGTAGCAATATATAGCAATTTGTGCATATAGCAACGTACATAAATGTGTGTATGGCTAGTATTAAGTTATAGCAATATTTAGCAATTTGTGTAAATAGCAATGCACACAAATCTATTTCTATTGTTATATTGTAGCAACATACAGCAATTTGTGTATATAGCAATGTACATAAATGTATGTATTGCTAATTTTATATTATAGCAATATTTAGCAATTTGTGTAAATAGCAATGCACACAAATCTATTGCTAGTATTATATTATAGTAATATATAGCAATTTGTGTGTATAGCAATGTATATAAATATATGTATTGCTAGTATTAAATTATAGCAACATACAGCAATTTATATATATAAATAGCAATATACATAAATATACATTTGTTATAGTTATATTGTAGCTCACAGAATAAAAACTAGACACCCTTGAATGTAGAGAATTATAACGTACGATTGTATAAGATACATGAATTTGAAACGTATGATATAATGTGTAATGTTATAACGTGTGAAGACCTCATATGTCATCGTTTAGCTATACACAATGCGATGATATGCGTGGGAATCTAACGCGTGTGAATCTAGCATGTGACGATCAAACATGTAGGAATTAGATTCGTAAAAATCTAACGGGTATGAAGTTAACGTGTGGGAATTTAACGCGTGGAAATCTGACGTGTATGAAGCTAACTTGTAGGGATTTAATGCGTAGAAATCTAATGCGTAGAAATCTAATGCGTAGAAATCTAATGCGTGGAAATCTAATGCGTAGAAATCTAATGCGTAGAAATCTAATGCGTAGAAATCTAATGGGTGTTAATTTAATTCTTAGAGAATTAACGCGTAGAAATTTACTGTGTAATAATCTAACGTGTAGAAACCTAACGTGCAGAAATCTAATGGGTAGTAATCCAGCGGGTGTGAATCAAAGTTTTAAAGATTCAACGCGTAGAAATCTACCGTATAGAAATTTAATGTGTAGAAATCTAACGGGTATATATCCAGTAGGTAGAGATGCAACGGGTAGAAATCCAGCAGGTAGAAATCTAACGGGTAGAAATCGCTATAATTTGCAATTTAAATCCGTCTAAAATTGGCAATACAACGAGAGTCCTCTAAATAGGAGAAAATATATACAAATTTGGTAGTGTCGCTTTTGTTTTTTGTTTCTTCTCATGTATAGTGATTTATTGTTATCAAGATGAGGCAGAGTATCAAGAACTTTTTAATAAACCTTATCACTATATTCAAAGTTAGTAATTTTCATATTACTTAAATAAGATGTTTACATATATTTTTTTTAATATTTCAAAATTTCTTTTGCACCAAATTAATTATAAATTGATTAGTAACTTGTTCAATTATAATTTTAGATTAATTAAAAATTGATTAGTACACTTTAACATTACAAAACTCAATTTACTTGACTAATTAACAAAATTCTCAACCCCTCTTTTGCACTAAATTAATGATGAATTGATAAGTAACTATACTTGTTCAATTATAATTTGAAATTAATTAAAAATTGATTAGTACACTTCAACATTACAAAACTCAATTTATTTTACAAATTAACAAAATACTCAAAATTACTTTTTGCAAACTTTCTCAACACCTCTTTTGCACTAAATTAATGATGAATTGATAAGTAACTATACTTGTTCAATTATAATTTGAAATTAATTAAAAATTGATTAGTATACTTCAACATTACAAAACTCAATTTATTTTACAAATTAACAAAATACTCAAAATTACTTTTTGCAAACTTTCTCAACACTTCTTTTGCACTAAATTAATGATGAATTGATAAGTAACTCCTTCAACTACAATTTTAAAACATGTAATTAAAAATTGATTAGTCACTCCAACATCACAAAACTCAACTCACTAATTAACAGAACTCAATAGCCTCTACCTCATTTCAATACGTTCCCTTTCAATACAAGTTAACCCTTTCATACAAGTTTAGAACTCTCTGAATAGCCAAAAAAATCATGAAAGGGCTAACTACCGTACGAGCTTTGAATGCAATGAAAGCCAGGACCTAAAATGTACCCTGTTATATCATAAATCAATCTATATTTAAAATCAAAAACACACAAAAATTATAATTAAAAATAACATTATAGCTTACAAGATTATAAAGGAACGATAAAATACAAGAACACACAGAATATAATTTATAAAAACTAAAGTACAAAATATTTAGGAAAAATAAGTATAACAGTTAGCGATAAAATTAAACGATACAAAGCTTCGATAACTTTTTTCATAGAACTTATGGTTAAATATATGATGTTTGGAAATTTGTATTTTAGGCCCTGAAGTACAATGACTAGGAGTATGCGGTTATCCGAAAGTTTCAGATTAAGTAGAACAGGGACATGAAAGTATCTCGGGTGGCCAACATGTTTTAGATACCGGAAGTTTCGATCTGGGCGTGCTTTGGTATTTAGGAACTATCGACGTCCGTACGATACTTTTAGATTTCGGGCTATTGAAAGTTTTCGTTTGCACAAATAGAGTTAACTTTTAACGATTCTGGGTTGTGGAAAATCGCTTTCATCTTGCTTTCTAAAGAATTGGATTTGGGAAGTTAAGAATTTTTTGATTTTCAGGTTGCAATGTTTGTAGGTATTTAAATGTTGGAATTGTCGAATTTTGGAGTGCTCAAATTTTCGAATTATCTAATTTTAGAACGTTCAAATTTCCGAATTTTCAAATTTTTGCAAATGGTCAAATTTCCGAATTCTCAAATTTCAGAACGTTCATATTTCCGAATTTTTTAATTTTAGAATAGTCAAATTTCCAAATTCTGAAATTTTAGAATTCCCAATTTTCCGATATCTCAAATTTCCAAATTCTCAAATTTCTAGATTTGCAAATTACCAAATATCTAACTTCCCAATTCTCCAAATTCCCAAACTTCGAATTCCGCTAATTTCCAAATCCTCAGATTCTCAAATTCTCAAACTTCGAAGCCCCCAAATTTCCAAATCCCCAGATTTTCAAATACCTAAATTTCGAACTCCCCAAATTTCCAAGTCTCTAGATTCTCTAATTTCCTGTGTCTTAAATCCCTAAATCTGAAAATCCCAAAATCCTCGAATCCCCAAATCTCCAAATTCCCAAAATCCCCAAAATACCAAAATTCTCAAATCTCCAAAATTTCAAAATTCTCAAATCCCCAAATCCCACAATTCCAAAATCCTAGAATCCCAAAATCCTCAAATCCCCCAAAATTCTCAAATCCCAAAATCTCCAAATCCCCAAATCCCCAAAACCCAAAATCCCAAAATCCCCAAAACCCAAAATCACAAAATTCCAAAAACCAAAAATGCCAAAATTCCAAAATCCTCGAATCCCAAAATCCCAAAATCCCCAAAATCCCCAAAATCCCAAAATTCTCAAATCCCCAAAATCCCACAATTCCAAAATCCTCGAATCCCAAAATCCTCAAATCCCAAAATCCCAAAATCCCAAAATCCCGAAATCCCAAAATCCCCAAAACCCAAAATCACAAAATTCCAAAAACCAAAAATTCCAAAATTCCCAAATCCTATAATTCCAAAACCCTCGAGTCCCAAAATCCCCAAATCCCCAAAATCCCCAAAATCCCAAAATTCTCAAATCCCCAAAATCCCAAAATTCTCAAATCCCCAAATCCCACAATTCCAAAATCCTCGAATCCCAAAATCTCAATATCCCCAAATCCCCAAATCCCCAAATCCCCAAATCCCCAAATCCCCAAAATACCCAAATCCCCAAATTTCCAAATCTCTAAATTTTCAATATTCCCATTTCTCTCAACATGTCCCTGAAGGTCTAAAATTTCACTACTCTTGCATTTCTCCATTTCCAATTCCCAAATTCCCTAGATCTCCAAATTTCCAACCTCTCAAACCGACTAAAAATATATTACTTCTTTCGGTTTTTTACTTCGTTACTTCACTTACATATGCATATAGTAGGTTATACAATATTTTCGAGTCTCTAGTGATTCGCCCATTTCAACAGTCTCAAACCACTGACCCGCCGTTTGTCGGCGCTGACCGAAAATCCCGATACCTCAAGATCCCGAGTGTTTCGTACGGGTTCTGATAACTTTCAGATCCCAAATCGAACTTATCTGATTTTCTCGACCCTTGGGTACCTCGAGTGTAAACCTATTCCTACACTCCTAGTAACGATATCCTCATAATTTTGTAATCCTATCATTTTTAAACCACGAGCTTATTCTCTACAAGAATTTTAATTTTGGAAGCTGAAATTTGTTGACTTGTTTCAGTGTTAATGTTCTATTATAACGTTAGCTAAACGACAGACTTGTCTACTTGTGTTATTTTTAACACTTAACGAACTTTACTTTTTTCCATTTTGTAAGATGTAGATTTTTGCTTGAATTTTTATTAAGTCTCGTCAATTTTTAATTTTTGTGTATGGAAGATTTCTTCTTGTTATTAGTTTGTATATATCTCTTGAACCTACATTTTAGAATACTAAAAATTACTAATTTAGTTACCAAATATAATAACTGAATAAGTTTGTAAGACTTTGTAAATAACAGTATCAGTTTAACCAACTAATCATTGCTACAATATTAGAACAGACAAAGTTGAAATGTTATGTCAAATTAATGTCGTTAGCAATAGCAATCGTTGACTATGCAAATAATTGAATATACTCCACCTTGCAGTGTTAAAAATTCGAGTAAGACCTGTCGCAATTGAAGCACGAGTGCATCAAGCTTGAGTTTTATTAACTCTTTGCAAGCTTTAATTTAATCTTAATTTAATCTTACCGAAATTGCATTCTATTCTAAAACATCTTTTTGCTGTATTTATTATATTTTTAATAAATATATTATTAATATATGGCACAGTGTAACCACAGCTATCTGATATTATAAAAAATTAGCTAACTTTTATACTACACTTGTACACCTCAGATTATAATTTCAGCAAGTAAATTTACAACACCCACAAAAGGGTTAAAGCACATTAAGAGTTATAATTATTATTGCAAGGCAAACGCCCAGAAAGTCCGTTAAGTGTTAATATTTGATTACCCTAAGTCTGGTGATTCGCGTGGTTGTTCTACGCATCCGAGTTCATGCAAACCTATGTAAGAGTTTCGTGTGTTCGTGTAGGAGTCGTCGTGCTCGAAGCGTGACTCGCTCGTGGGTGTCGTGGACGATGTGCAAGGACGTTCCAAGGAGGTGCAGGAGGACGTACCGTTCCGTGATATCCGGGTGTTCGTTTGGGGACTTCCGGTGCAGCTGTATCGAGATGTTAACGCTTCTGAACGCGATAACGATGGCTCTGCTGGTACGGTCACTCCGGGACACCAGGAGAAGAAGCGGGCGAATCCTCGACGAAATCTGGAAGATAATTCAGTACTTATTTATTTTATTATTTTAATTCTTTGGCAAGAGTGAAAGCTTTAGGAAGCTTTAGGGTGGTCAAGAATACTTAAGAACTCTCTAAGGCACTATAACATATGACGCACTGAAATACTCTGTGACGCATTAGAGCACTATAGCTCGAGCATACTTAGAAACTGTCTAAGGTATTACATGACGCGCTGTGACGCACTAGAGCACTATAGCTCAAGAATACTTAAGGACTCTGTAAAGTATTATATGACGCACTGTGACGCACTAGATCACTATAGCTCAAGAATACTTAGGAACTCTCTAAGGTATTATATGACGCACTGTGACACACTAGAGTACTATAGCTCACCCACGGTATTCTAGGGCACTTTAGGGAACTTTAAGACACTCGATGGCGCTCAGGGACACTGTAGGATACTCTAGAGTAGTTTAGGACGCTATAGAGTCTCTCTAAGGTATTATATGACGCACTGTGACGCACTAGAGTACTATAGTTCACGCACGGTATTCTAGGGCACTTTAGGGAACTTCAAGGCACTCTATGGCGCTCAGGGACACTGTAGGATACTCTAGAGTAGTTTAGGACGCTATAGAGTACTCTATGACGCATTGGGACCCTCTACACAGTATGTCGGAAAAGTAACGGAACTTTTTAAATTTAAGGAAAACTAGCACCATCTATTAAAACATGTTATCTGAAAACATACCTCCCCTACAAAACACAACAATCATTATTGGAATCGAGCAACGAATTGTAAACTTTCCCTTTGTATTTTTCTTCCATTGCTACCTATGTATATCACTTCGCTATTGTTTATGCTTTTTCGTCGAAACGTAGCGTTACGGTGAAACCGAGGGAATTTAAATTGCGAATAAACAGAAAGAAATAGCGTTCCTACAGTTCTTAAACTCGATACCGTTGATCGAACAACGGATCTGTAGTTGCGGGTTACTATTTTTCATCGAAGTTTAATTGGCTTTGTACGATTGGTTGTTTAGAAAATTCACTCATGTATTTTATGTTGTATTTTGTATTTTGTTATATTTTTATGTATTCATCTATGCATGTCGGAAAAGTAAAGGAACTTTTTAAATTAAAGGAAAACTGGCACCATTTATTAAAAGGATATGCTATTTGAAAGCAGTATATCTCCTCGACAAAACACAACAATTATTATTGAAATCGACCAACGAATTGTAAACTTATAGCGTTTAATGCGACAGAACCTTCCGTCACCGTGTCACAAAATCGCGAGCAAGTGCAACAAATTGCTCGCGTTGAATATTGCAAGTTCTTATCAAAACAGCCAGACGAAACCGTACATTCCTGGAATCAATTGTAACTAGTAATGAGACTTGGTGCTTCAAGTATGAACCTCGAACAAAGCGCCAAAGTGCTACGTGGAAATCTCCAGGCTCTCCAAAATCAAAAAATTGCGATTCCAGAAGTCCCTCGAGAAGACAATGTTAATTTGCTTTTACGATTCTAAAGGAATTATACTTCGGGAATTCGTTCCACAGGGACAAAATGTTAATGGCGAATATTATTTGGGTGTTATGGAACATTTGTGGAAGAGGATTGTTCGTGTGAGGCCCGAATATCGAGCGTCGGAAGTTGGTTTCTCTTGCATGATAACCATGTCAAAGAACTGTCGTCCGTGAATTTTTGGCGGAAAAACAAATCTGTCTTCTTAACAAAGTTGAGAAAAATTGATTGTCCTTTGTAACATTTACTAAGGATTGTATACTTCACCAAATCGATACAAAATTATTTTGTAATACATTGATGCACGTAATTTTAACTACTGTACTAAGCTTGTCATTTCAATTTTAATTTATTACAACTATTTGTAAATGTTACCAAATATATCTGTGAACAAATTTTCACGGTCTTTGAACGCAAAGTACAAACGTACTAAATAAGTCTGAAATAGAAATTATTTCAGGAAAATTATTGGTTAGATTGTCCGTTACGAATGTAGGGAATTGTGGAGAAACGATATCTGTGCATGACGTGTAAAGGGATTTCGGTAAATGGCTATTTTCAAATCAATCATCTGGCACCCGTTTCATTCAGTTTACAGGCGAAACAATGTTATCTAGGTTTGCCTTCGACGGTACCTGCGGTTCTTTGATGTGTATCATGCGATGAAACTGACCGCAATTAAAATGTCCGTTTAAACGGATATTTCATATGGCATAAAGTAAAATTGTAAGTCCCTAATTAGGACAATACTGTGTTTGGCTCTTTAAGAATTATGTAACTGTTCATTTGGTAATGAAGGGAATGGTATTCATGTTAGAGTTGAAGTACTATGAATGTTATTGGAGATGAAATAAAAATTTTTTAAATATTTTTGAATACAAAATTAAAATATTATAAATATTATTGCAGATGAAATTAAAATACTACAAATATTATTTCAGATGAAATTAAAATACTACAAAATTGCTATTATTTAACAATAATATTTTAAATAATCTTTCACAACTCTGGGGACGAATTACACAGGAAGAGAATGTAATTGCCAAAGTCTCATTGCAGGAAAGTTAAAGAAATCTTTTGTTAGAAACTATTCTCATTCAAGAACTTTTCTATCGATTAAATTCACCGTAACCTAAATTCTCAAAATGTTGGACTAAATTTTTCGACGATCCCGAATTAATTTCTTAGTTTCTCGATTGTGAAAAGGAATTCATGTTTCGAGTTTTACAGTCCCTAGCCATCGAAAGACCAGAAATTTATTTTATTCATTTATTTTTAAGTCGTTATTCAAAAATACTTACGTGTCGTGTGAAAATAACATTTTACCTGGAATTCATCCAGCAGTAGATTATGGGGTTGTACATGCTGTTAGACATCGCCAGCCAATAGATGCCTAGGAAAACTTCTTGAATATATGGTTTGTTTGTAATCTCCGGAAAATATGAAACTATGATGAAATATACGTGGAAGGGTAGCCAGCATACTGCGAATATCACCACCACCACGATCATCATTTTTACCACCTGTAACAAGAATGTTTATATTGTTTCAATTAATACTTGATTTAAGAACAAAGTACATTTATTTATTTTGTCCCTGAAATGGGGGGTAGCTGACGTGATTCTGAATAAGATATCCCTTTGCAAAAATGGGGTTTGAAGTTTCGTTTTTGAATTATTAAGGAAAAACACGGACCAATCAGAGCGCGAGGAGCCCTATACAGGGTGTCTCACAGTATAGGTCCCTGAAATGGGGAGTAGCTGATGTGATTCTGATTATGATTTCCATTTGCAAAAATGTGGTGTGAAGCTTCGGTCTTGAGTTATTAAGGAAAAACGCGGACCAATCAGGACTGCGCGTGCTCAGCCACTAGGCTTGAAGCTGTCGCTCTCGCGTCTGCGCATGCGTAAGCCTCGCGCTCTGATTCCCTGCGCCTCTATTTTTACGCGTCATATCCTCTACGCCCTGTATTCTCACGCGTTGAATCTCCACGCGACGTAATTCCACGCGTTATATTCTCTACGCCCCTATTTCCACGCGTCATATCCCCTACACCCCGTATTTCCACGCGTTGAAACGCGTCATATCCCTTACGCCCCGAATTTCCACGCGTTGAATCTCCACGCGGCGTAATTCCACGCGTTATATTTCCTGCGCTCCTATTTCCACGCGTCGTATCCCCTTCGCCCCGTATTTCCACGCGGCGTAATTCCACGCGTTATATTCCCTACGTTCCTATTTCCACGCGTCATGTCACCAACGCCCCGTATTTCCACGCGTTGAATCTCCACGCGGC